CTGCTGCTCCACAGTCTGCCCGACGGTGAATTTACTGTTTGTTCTTGAATAATTTCCAAACCCAGCGAAATGCTTATTGCAGCCAGTGTGATTCCATCAACTCATCTCATTACTGTGACCGGCACTGTTACTCAGTCTCACACCACTTTAAGTGATTACCAATAGGTGGAAGGTATAATTGAGTCGTTTTAATACTAGTGTGGCAGTCAGCGCTGGTTGGAGCGCTCTGGGTTGCAGACAGAGATGCTCCGTAGTACTATATCTGCCCTGCTTATTTGCACAATGATGCTTTGGTGGGATTAGCCATAATATGGAAATCAGCCTGCCTGGCTCTATATTTGTGTAGGTGTGGAAAAGGAGAGTGTGCTTTCTAGTGCGTTGAGCTCTCGTGGAGGGTAAAGCCTAACAGTACGCACAAAAGCTTTATTCAACAACTTTTAGTTAATCATTTGCATCTTTTACTGTCCATGAAGTTCAGTGTAAAACTGCTGCTTTGCCTCTCAGTCAAACAAGCGTATGGTCAGTTTGAAATTGTGTAGCCTCTCAGCAATTCAGCCTTTATATATGAACATTAGCTGCTCAGTCACTAATAGATGACTTTTTTGTTGTACTCTACTTTGGATCATCCCACAATCATCCCATCTGCATAATCAGGAGTTTTGCACTCCTGCTTTGCATGGACTGACATTTGGTGCAAAGTAGCATCAGGCGTGTAAAAACCTCTGTGGGACGTGTTCACTGAAAAATGGCACCGAGCAGGTTGGATACAAAGATGTTCTGAAAACTTGGATTAAACCCTCACGCAGACACAGCGCACACTCGTGCTTTTCTCTGTTTGTGCCAACATGTCACTAGGTGGTTGCCCTGGGCGACATTCCAGATGGCACCTTGGTTACAGTGATGGCAGGAAATGATGAGAATTACTCAGCAGAGCTTCGCAATGCGACAGCTGCAATCAAGAACCAAGTGGCCAGATTCAACGACCTCCGCTTTGTGGGCCGCAGCGGTAGAGGTACGCACAGACACGCAAATACATGCATGGAAATGTGAATGCAGATTTACTGTATAGTGTAAAAGTTGTATAGTGTGAAATCAGCAAGCACCAGATTATTAGTATGAGTGACATTAGTCAGAAGAGTTTCACATTTAAACCTTCCACAGGTTGAAAATTAATAGACATGTTTTGTACAAGCATACAGCACAGCATTAAATTAGGGGAAGTACATGTGAATAAAAGCAGCATTCACACAACTTCCTCCTAGTATCCCATCCAGTGTCTGCCTCTTTCTTTCTCCCTCTCTTTTTAACGGACGCACAAGCACAGTTACTCTAAATCAGGCACAGGCAAATGTCCCTACTTATCTATTTAAAACACCAGTCTTGTGTACACAAACCCTGCTAACATGCAGACACACACAATATTGATAAATCCTCCCCCAGCCAAAAGAAATTGGTATAACTGTCAATATTTTATCAGCTGTGCAGACCTTAGGTTGAAAAAATGAGCATATTAATATTTCAAGTGCAGCAGAATTCAAATGATGAAGAGTGAGGAGTCTAAATTTGTTTTCATGCAAATTTAACAGCACAGAATACAATGGGACCATTTTCTCTCCCAGCAGCATTTTAAGATAGTATTTTTGTAATGTTGACTTACAGCTCGAAGACTGTAGTTGCATCTGTCTGTCCATCTGTAAAACAGTGTCTGACCCAAACTGCTGTGACACGCAGTGCTTTGTTTTCTGTGCATCTATTTCTTATTAATGCGTTTCATGATAAGGTGA